TAATGAACTGTTGCGAGGTTTGTATCAGCTGTCGTCGTTATTCTTTTTGTAGTTTGATGGCTGGCGTTCCAGCAATTTCGACTGCTCCAGCTTTTGAACGTATTTTATGTAACGTTATCCGTGTAATGTTAACTTTAAATTTACTGCCTATTACAATTTTTCACGGCATGGTATCATGTGTGACTCAACGACAGTGATGCAGAGATATTTGCAAAACTCCGGACCGCAGGTGTCTGCGGTGGGGAACGAACGCGTTATTACATTTTCCGGGGGCTTACGTGTTCACCGCCACACCATGCGGTCCTTCGTTTCGCCTGTCTCCCAGCTAGTTCTATCGATCAGTGCCATATCCATCCTATATGTTATCGATTTTCGGCCAATTTACCAATTTGTGATAGTTGGCCAGTGGATTAGGGAGTTAGCCGGATTTGTCTTTTGTTCGCCAACTGTACGTGGAATGCTCGACTTTGTATGAATTCGCCACGCGGGACTTTTTTCCGTAACTGCCGTGAAGAACCTCGAGTTTGGGTTATAAGTTTATATCAATAACAACGGTACAATAATAATATGTGATATGTGACGATATGTGGTTAGCTGGGTGGATACGAGCGAGATTGAAATGAGAACAAGTGATACACTTGAAGGAAACTAGGTGGACACTGGAGTTGGAGCACTGAGGAACTGAGGTACGTGAAGAAAAGCAATGAAAGATTGGAAGATGTGCAATGAAGGTTGGAACCCAGGCACTCGTAGATTGGAGGACAGACACTAGTTTCTATGACTACTGGTGCTTCTTATATTCTGTATGTAATGGGTGAAGTTTTACAGAGGGTGTCAGATATCGTGCTGATTCAGGACATAACGCGGTACCTGCGGAGAAGTTCATCAAATAAGACGATGTGCCAGAGGTTTCGTCAACATAGAACTTAATCAGTTAACGAAGGAATAGCTCCTAGAGAAAGGTTATCTGAAAGGCTACTCAAAGGCTTATCAAAACGTCATGTGGAAGAGATGGAATAGCTTGTACAAAGGTTTTCACCGAAAGTACGTGTCGAAACGGTATAAAGACTTATACATTTTGAATGGATAGATTTACGATAGTTATAAGTAAATTGTTAGTATAAGAAACATGTGATATTATAGAGAATATGAAGTATTTAAAGAATACTTACTATAAAACATGACTGAGAGAAAGGCGAAGCAAGGCTTTTGGTTGGTGTGAGGATAGCCGTGAGCCCCTAGTGAGGGTAATAATGGGTTCGAATCCCAACTAAGGTTCCAAGTTCTACTCATGTCTCAGCGTCCTTGTGGTTTTATTTCACACAGTACCTTGCCATGAAAAAAAAAAGAATAGACAGTAAATAAAAGTTAGGACGCTGTGATTTTTACTTTCATTTAACTTCGGTTATTGTGTATGTTTTTTCTGCTGATAACCTTACACGAGGTTACCGTCAAAATTGTTTTTATCATTACCAACGTTCCTTCATGAAAGACGATATAAAGTACAAAGCGTCTAGCGTGATCTATTCCATAGAAACTAGTCATTCTTTAGACTCAAATGGCAGCATTACAGAGGTGAATACATATTTGGCCTTTACAGTGACTTGATAGGAAATACCAGTATTACTAAATCATTGCTTTATCCTATCAGACAAGTTTTGCACCAACTTGGCTACCCGTTGAGCGATGGAACAGTCTGTCACCACGACCACGGTGCCAGTTCGATTCCTCTCTGGGCCAACCAAGCTTTTAATCTCTCCGGGATCGGGAAATTGGTAGCGGACTTGTCTGGGAAAAGATCACTCTCTGCAGTCCAATTAGGAACGCTCTACTTCGGCTATCTCAGGACTCCGGAGAGAATCGACTCAACTACCATTCTACAATATTCAAGATGAAATCAAAGTGCTCAAACAGTAGCCTAAGCCACTCGTAAAAGTTGGAAGATCTTCGTGCATAATGAATGCGAAGAAACGTTCAATTCCTACCATTCCTCAGGGTCGGAAAACTAGAATCTGATCTTGACTTGTTTGCTTATGGTACCCTCTGATTCATAAATGTCGGCAAGCACTTGTGGAGAAGACATGGGAGCATTTAGGTAGGGCTATCCCAAGATTGCAGGAAGAATCAATTCAACCGCCTTTCGAATGCTTTCATGAAGACAAAATCCTCAAGTGGCACCCGAATCCACACGCAGATCAGACCTTCGTGGATGAGGGGTGTGAGACAATGGAGCAAATGAAGTGTTGGAATCCGCACAACATGTGAAAATAGAGAATAGTAGTTTAGAAAGATTTAGATGAAAGCAAAATTTATTTAAAATATTAGGAAGGAAACCCTCCAAGCAGTTTATCGCATCATCGTGGCTTGCAGGTGTCGCGGGGTGCCGGACTGCGATGTACAGCGGGGGATTCATCTCCTAGGCAGGGTCTTCCAATCTAAGAAGGAGTCCGGCGTTCCCATCAGGAAGACAAGCTAAGAGTAAGTCAATATCAAGATCCACCACCGTTCCGGTAGCAAAATCGCATGGTGGTAAATGTCCGTCTGATCCGTAAAGGCTGCGACTATCTGTGATGGTGAAGACCTGGAGCAAACTTGGCAAGGCTGATCTCGAAATTCCAGGGAACCACAATGGCTTAACCAGGAAATCTCCGAAAAATGGAGATTATGCTGAGGCCCGCACAACCAGTGAGGGCGGGTCATCCAAGTATCAAGTAAGTATCAAGAAGGAAACAGTGCATAATAAGAGGATTAGCCGTTGATTAACAGAAAAAAAGGCAAAAAATAAAAAAAGATTTAAAAAATGAAGAGGCCTATGAAAGAAAAAGTTGGTTTTTCGAAAGCATGGCGAATATATACAATAGACGAAAACGTGTTGATCAAGTTAACTGTAGGTTATGAAATGTATGTACGAAGCTGAAAAGTGAAAATTTTTGGTAAATATGAGTTGAAATCAATTCATATCGTTATGTATGCATAAAACAGGTGTTCATCTGTGGTTTCAGGCAAAGATCTCTGCTTCCATCGCTGTTGGATTACTATTCTGAAAGTCAGTTCGATACTTCTTTGTGATTCCTGACCATTTAGAAATGATTTGATGCAGACATCAGACATTCTAACTAGATTCTGGTTCAACTTTCTTGCACTCTATTTGTTTCCCTCAATCCATCATCCACGAAGGTCTTCCTACTTTTTACCTGTGGCTTCTACTGCTGCTTGACGATTTTTCCTTCACCGCGATAGCCAGGTTAGAGCGTCCCCACTTGGACTGCAGAGAGCCACTTTTCCCGACAAGTCCGGCAACAATTTCCCAACCTCGGAGTGATGAGAGGCTCGGTGAGTTCCGAGCGTGATAGATCAAGCACTGTGCTCGTGATGACCGGCATCACCACCACTGAGCTGTTTGCCACTTTTTCAGCATTAACAAGCAAACTACTTTGTTCCCATGCAGTGATCTTGTTGAGCTAACATTATCTCGCTAACACTCATTTCTGGATATTTCATAAAGTGTGAAACTGTTCACATATCACGATGATTGGTGAGAAAGAAAGTAAAAACAAAAGAAAAGCTCTAAAGGAAAAGCGAAGTCGCAGAAACACTAGCCACAGGAGATCAGAAATACATGTTAAGAACTTTATAAGGATGAAATCTAAGAGGATGAAAACTTCTATGAACTTTATAAGAAGTCATAAACAGGATAAGGGAAGAACTCTAGACATTATACGAAACTCTGAAAAAGGAAAAAGCTCTTGGCATTGATCGATCCTTGACGGATGCGCCACGCACTCGACTTCATAAGCATCACTGGAGGTAATTGAATGCATATCTGGCCTTTACAATGACTCGCGATAGCCTAACGATGTATCGAGCCAGTGTTGGTAACCTCCCATATAAGGCTGGTACCAATTTGCCGACCCCAGAGGGATGGAAGACTTGGTGAGCCTGAGGCGCAAGATCGATCTCCAGTGTATTACAGAGCGCCTCTGATCACTGAGATACACGTATTCGTCACCAAACTGTACAAAATGGAAATATAATAGTAACAATATCAATTATAGGTAGAAAATATCAACCCAATGCAAAAAAGATATTTCGTTCTTTTTCTAAGTGACTACGTTAACACGAGGTTGTTAAAGAAAAAAATTTTATTCGGTTAACGTATTGACGTCGTCCACCTCTTCAGAGGCGAGTTGATCCGACTCGATGGTCCAGAGTCATTCGTCGTCACTGTGTGGGCCGTCGTAATCGTATCGAGTCGAGTCTGCTCTGATCAGCCGAACAAGGTTTTCTATCAACCTCGTGTCGGCCTAATCATTTCTTTTCTACATTTTATGTGGCTCGTCATCACATCTACTGTGTGGATCCCAGAAATTCTTGCATTACGTTCGTTTTCCTTGCATTCATCTCCCAATAAGGTTCTCGAACATTTCGCGTGTCCTTTCAGCTGCTGCTGGAGGGTTTCGGCTTCTTCCTGAATGTCATACAATGCTGGTCGACTCAATTCTTCTTGCAGTCTCGGAGATAGCCAAGCTATAGCGTATCCACGTGAATTGGAAGAAAGCGTTGTGGTGCGGGTTGAACCAGCGCCGTTGCTTCCTGATCGACGGCATGACTAACCATTGCGCTTTCCCCACCCTTAGCCCAATCACTAAAGAAAATATCGATTAGTCATACCGAGATCGAAGGAAAGTCAGTGTTTCAAACGCAATTCATTCTGCTCTAGCAGTTTTTTGCTGAGACAATTGGGATCGATTAGTTCCATTCCTGTGCGAAATTTTATAGCCGTGTTAAAATAATCTGCTCCTGCGTAAAACCACGGCTACAATGATAACGCGTTTATAGCCCGCATCATTTCTTGGATTTGTATTCGAGGAATCCTCTTCCTGTCCCACCAGGAGTTTTCTGGCTTTCATTCGGTCGTTCCGCTGACTTCTCTCTCACTACTTCATAGTAACTTTACCACTTACACTTTTTCTTCAGAGAAGTCGGTTCGTATCCGTTTGATGAGTGGTGCATCGAAACCAAAAGGTATGTCACTGTTTCAGAAAGGTGATATAACTTCAGGAATTTCTCTTTTATAAGCTTTTGTGGTTTCAATCAATATCCGAAGCGATCGGATGTTTTCTTTCTATTCATCTTCTTCATTTAACCCTCATTTTTTTTCAGATGGTTTGGCGAATACTGACTTTTCGCAGTCAGTTGAAACAAGCTTTCCCCAAGCGACAGAGACGAAGGTTGGTCTTTTCTGCACTGTTATTTTTATGCTCTTTGTATTTTTTTATAATTCATTCTGATTTTTTTTGCGTGTTCATTCATCTGTTTGCCATATGCTTCAAGTACTCTTCGTTGGTGTAGTTAAGCAAAACATTATGTTTCAGGTTTACTACTATCTTGACGATGATACCACTCCTTTCGTATCAATATTACCAGTACCTCCAGAGTTAGCCACCCTAAAAGACTTCAAGAAAGTTTTCACCAAGAAGGGCTTCAAGTACTTCTGTAAAGGACTGGATGCTGACATCAAAAGGTGATTGGTATTTCGTATTTTAATGTTTGTGTTTTTTCAGCCTTACTTGTTTTGAAGTCGCTATTTTACCTATTATAATGTTTCTGATACGTTGTTGTGGGCGAGTAATGCGCATATATACTTTGAATATTTATTGTGGATTTGCTCATAATAGTAAAGTCATTCTTCCCAACGGCCGTTTTACTGCCTCATCGTGACTGAGAGGTGTTCCCTGGTGTCGGGCTGCGATGTATAGCGGGGAATTCATCTCCTAGGCAGGGTTTCCCAATCTAAGGAGCCTGACTTTTCCATCAGGAAGCCCAGCTAAGAGTAAACCAGTACCAGGATCCACCATTGTCCTGGTATCAATGCGACTGCCTATAGTGGTGACCACCTGGGGCAGACTTTGGCCAGGCTGACCTTGGGTCTTCAGGGAACCACAGTGGCTATGCCAGCAGAACTCCGAAATAGTGGAAAGTATGCTGGGGCCCCCACAACTAGTGAAGACGGGCTACCCAAGTTACTGAGTAAGTAGCGTCATTTTGTGCTTCGAAGTTTCTTGTTTTTAGTATTTTTGAAAAATGAGCTCGTATATTAAGAAGTTTCGGTGCGACATTAGTTGATGAATAAATGTTTGTAGGGAAGTCAAAATTGAGCTCGTTGATGATTCTGCACTTTTGAAACGATCGTCGAATGGCTTGTTCGAGATATTCTTACATAGCTGTGGTGGTGTAGGAGTGGCACGTTCTGGAACTCTTCCAAGAAGAGGACAAGCTGATTATATGTGCGATCTTGACGTTTTGGACAAGGTTGGCAAAAAGGTCCATGTTGTATCCTTCTAGAATATTTCTGCTAGGTTTGCTTGCTCTATTGAGGATATGGTTCTGTCAAAAATTCAGAAAATTTTACTGAAATAGTTTTCTTTTAAAACGTACAAGTATGTTACCATGACGGAGTTTCTATTAAACTCGGCATAGATCGAACAACTCTTTGTATTCTCGTTGAGCAAGGATGAAGCGTTATTTTTTTTGATTTCGGTAAAGTTGATGTTTCGGGAGATTTCGCCTTCGTCAGATCCTGAGAATGTGAAGTTGAATGCACTCTACCCAGCCAAACAACCATCTACTTGTCTACCCATCTACCTGACCTTCCAAAGCTCTTAGGAAGGCGAAATTTGCCGAAACATCAGCTTTACCAAAATTAGGAGTAGAATAACACCTCGTTTTTGCTTAACAAGAATATGAAGAATTGGATAAGTATGTGGCAAAACTTTCCTCTATACGGTAATGTATTATGGACAAAATATCTTTCAAATTCCGATTATTTATTGTCCATTAGACATGGCAGTTGTCCGAAACCGGATTTCAATTTAGCGGATACGACGTCGATCACTGGTGAATCTGGACCTTCTGGACACATCAGAAAGCACACACCCGTGTAGCAGCGTTGGAGGAACGGTCGTTAGCAGTTCGTTTTACTTTATAGACAGCTATGTCTTTACTTTTTTTCACACGTTTTTAATCATACAGGACGTGCTGGTGAACATCTCGCCGAACTATACACTTCAAACTCTGAGAATTTCTACAAGTATGAAGAGTCAGCTAGGTATCGTTCGGTATAAATTATTGTTTCCACCGTTTAATGAGTAAAGGATCTACAAATCTTGAGAGAAGTATGTGTGCAGCTTAACAATGTAGTTGGTTTCTCGGCAAATTACTGTAGAAAGATGCAAAGCTGAGCATTCTTATCCATATTTTAGGTTTTCTGCGACCGCCTCCTCGTCACTTTATGAGCCTCTTTGCGCCAATGGTGCGTATAATGACGTTGGTAAAGTACGAAGAAGGAAACCTAGGAAAGAACGTTTTAGGAAGGCCTATGTGCCAAGTACTATCAGCTCTATTACTGAGAGCAGGTTGGTTGTAGTATCTAATTGTGGTGTTTCCTGCATTTAAATGCTCATCATTTAACATTTTCGATTACTGAATTTCTGTCTTTAAGCATGACTAGCTTGTCCCTTCCTCGTATTCTGGAAGTTAATCTATCAATGAGAACAACGCCTTACCTTGGTATTTCTGTTGGTAGTTTTCAAGGAAGCATACTGGTTAGCGAGATATTGCCAGGTAAGTACAATTGAGCTTCTGAGAGAGTTTCACGATCTCATGCGAGATACATTGATATGTTAGCATGGATGCCGTTTTATTTGCTAATTGATTAGAAATAGTGTCCCTCTCGTGAAACTACTTCTGATTGCAATCTCAGAGATGCTTCAGATGGTGCAGTTGCTAAAGATGGTCGGATAGAAGTTGGCGACCAAATAGTACAGGTGAACAACCGCTCGTTCGAAAACCTCACAGAAGCACAAGCTGTTCGTTTACTTAGAGAAGTTGCCGCTGCAAAAAAGTGGGTTACACATCCTGACTTTTTTTTAGCCTTACTGTTTGTTCGTCAGTGTGTTCGATTCGTAGAAGGCAAAGCGTCTATTTTTTATGCTTTTGAAGGGAATGAAATTTTTCTCCAAGTGAGCTAATGTTATCTCCTCTGCCATTTATTTCTTTTTTGCAGGCCACTTGTTTTATTTGTTGCGAAGTATTCACGTGGTAACGATTATGACCCATTATCGTCATTGGCGTCGGAGACTTTACCACTTGATGTCTCACTCTGGGTACAAACTGCTGCGTACGTTCTTCAGTATCATAATTATAGAATTTTTACTGACGTCAATTTAATTATTTTATGCCTGACTACCTGTAGTTCCATTTTTTTGTTTAATCATGCCACATTAGAGACTTTTTTCGTCTTCCAGTATATTGACGGGCCATTACGTTCAGTATATCAGTAGTAATTTTTAGGCAGTGCTCTGAGAGGCAACGAATTTATAGAGAGAGAGGGCTCTGTGATGATTTAACGCAAACATTCAACGAAAACGTTCTACCTAACACCAGTGAAACTGATGACGAAGAAGTTAGTTCCTTTATTCCTCTTTGGTTTCCAAAATACGTCTCTATAATGAATATTTTGAACTGAGTCGTTCTGCGCCGTAGCCATTTTTCTTGGCATTCTATTCCTGATCACTTGGTTTTTAGGAACGTGCGTTGTATGCGCAAAGACGACATGGTATACCTCATCATAATATCGAGGAACTAGAAAGACGGAGGGAAAATGAGCAGAATGGTAAGATTTACGGTGCCTTCTATTCATTCTTTTGTTAAGGATGTAGAAGAATCTTTATCTATTTTTTTTATTTTACACGATCCATCTTCACATCTGCTGTGCGAAAGCCAGCACTTTTCACATTGGATTCTTTTCCTCGACCCCATCATCCACAATAGTTTTCCAACTGTTACGTGTGGCTTCGGCTTCTGCTTGAGGACTCTCATTTCATCTTGAATGTCGTAAAGTGCTGCTCGAATCGATTCTTTCTGGATTCCTAATATAGCCGAGCTGGAGTGCTTTCGATTCGATTACGGGGAGTGGTCTTTTCTGGGACAAGTCCGGTACCAACTTCACGACCCCGGAGAGATGAGAGACTTGGTTGGCTCAGAGCGGAATCGAATTAGCATCATGCTCGTGATGACAGGCACCATTGCCACTGTGCTATCCGCATCCCGTAGCAGAAATTAGAAGGTCGAAATTTTTTCCAGTGGTTCTTTTGTGATGTACGTCCCACTGCTGCGCGCCCATTTTTGCCTACAAATTTCAGTGGAATTACGTGAGCTATACATTTATTTCTCTCGAGCACCGAGTAATAGTTGTTGGATTATGAACTTGTTCATAGAGCCATAAATTAGTATGTTCACGTTTCAGAACATAAAGCCGCTCAACGCCTCTCAGTAGCCATGGATCCTGTTGTGATTTTAAGAGCACTAGCACGACCAGATTCTGGACTGCAAGTAAAGAACAGAAAGTGGTTGAAAATCCTAGTTCCGATGTCCTTCATAGGTGTGTGGTTGATGTTTTTCTTTACTTATAGAGGACTGTTTGCTTTTTCTTCCCTTTTCTTGATTTCAACTTCCGCGACCTTCTACAGAAATGTAAAAGCATTAGAAAAGGATAAGGCTCTCAGTGTTGACCAATCCCTAAGGGGATTCATTCATTCAGTCATGCATTCGACTTCACCAAGTATCGCTTGTAGATGATTGAATGCATATCTGGCCTTTACAATGACTCGCGGTGGCCTACCGATGTATCGAGCCAGTGCTGCTATCCTCCCAGACAAATCTGGTACCTTTGCCGACCTCGGAGGGATGGATGGTTTAATGGGCCATGGGCGCAGGGATCGGTTCCACGTGTATTGCACGGCGCTGTAACCTGTGCACTACACGCGCTACGAAAACACACTTCGAAAAATGTCTCGTACTCTTCGAATTCTTCCCAATTACCATTTATTGATAGGTCGGGATCTCGTTGACTGGCTTCTTGAACACGTCGAAGATTTAAGCGACAGAAAAGCTGCTCGACAATATGCAGCTGAACTTCTTAGAGCAGGACTTATTCGACATGTAGTCAGCAAATTAACATTTACGGAAAAGTGTTACTATGTGTTTGGCGGTACGTTTCCACTCATCGTTTTCCTTTTGCACCAATATCTAGTATTTCAAATGCTTGACTATGCGAACTTATACTTCAGATACTTATTTACTTTATTATGTTGTCTATTGCTCATAAATTTGGTTCACTAGACGCAATTGTTGGAGTTCGTGGAGGAGCCGATAGCACACAAAATAGTGGTGGAACACTAAAGGTTGAAGCTACTACGGAAGTAACATACGTAGGATCTCCAGCTCCTACAGGTCAGAGAGATGTTCTTTATGACTTTGTAAGTAGACCGTGACTTGTGTGTTAGGGACATGGTACCAATGTACTGATGTATTGGAAAAACTAGTACTCGTGTTAACTTTTTACGATGTATTTTTTTCAAAGACTTTGAATGGTTGGTATCAAATCTTTGAGAAACTGTTGACGAAGCTTCGGTTTTTAAAATCTCCAACGCAAGAGCAGTGGACACAAGCATAAAAGTTACATTGGAGAATATCAATATGTCTTGTTGGACGAAAGTGAGATTGTTAATTTTTCTTCGTGTTTGAAACACGAGCCTTCATGCAGTAACGTGTCCGGGACTCCAATTGGTCACTATTTTATCTTGGTAGAATAAGTTAGGTTGTATCTGGTAGGTGAAGGTCTGCAAATCCTAATAATTTTGGACCCAACTAATACAATCTAGTGTCAGTTGAGATATGTTGGTGCAAAACTGGAAGTGGCCATCATTTTCGCATCACTTGAAATGTTAGAATGCAACTACGGCGTTATGTGTTAACTAAGGAACTTTAAACCATTGTTAGAATTCTACATAGTTGTGTATGTGAATTTATACTTGCTGCTTAAAGGAACTCACGACAAAGTACTTCGAGTGTATCCCCAACCATTGGCAGGCCCACATCAGGTTGGCGACCAAACATGGCCATTTAGCCCGATAACGGTACTCGACTCATCGCAAAGACTTCGAAATGACTGTGAAAGTCCAGTGGTGAGTAGTTTGTGTTTTCCTTATGCATTTCTGGATTACTGGATTATTTGTCGAGGCTTTTTGACTTTTAGTGAAACTCAGTTCTTGATTTATCAGATTTGCTTGGATTGTTGTCTTATAGCGGAATTCACAATAGGCTGATTACAACACTGCCACTTTGTTGATCTTCAGTGTGATTGAATCCATATTTCTCTTTGTTGTCATTTCAAATATATCTATAATTCTTTTTGAAGACGAACGATTATGCTTCAATGGTTGGCGTGGAAAGCAGCACATCGTACGCATTGGGCGTGGGCCGTGGGATTTCTCGTGTTCTCAACACGCCTGTGGACGGCATATCCGATCTGCAGTCGAATCTGATTCCGCCTCATCCAAGCCCTTGTGAGACGGTGTTCGAGGATGATGATAAGAAGAGGATTATACGACGGTAATCAAATATGTGATCAATCTGGATAGTTCAATATTCTTAAACTCCTGAGAAATTGCTTTCTGGCACTGTATTTGAAATATTTAGTCGAAGTAGTTGTAATCTAAGACAGTCTTTGAGTACTTAAACTTCGTTTCATCTTTTGTTGAAGTAACGTCTTAAATGTTTTTTCTGGCCTTTTTTTTTAATTTGTACAAATCTCCTCACAGTTGCCATTCCTATGTCGTTTGTCAATAGTATATAGGACTATATTCTTTAAGATGGACACTGTTTAGTTTGCAAACAATAAATGTTGGTGCTGTTGCATTTTGAACATCTGGGACACGTTGTACACACAGCTATTGCATTCTCTTCAAGTGTGATTGCATTATTTAAGACCACATACTACCGTTTTCTCTTTCTTAAAATTCTGGTAGGTAGCTGGTGGCGCACTGATAGTGGCGGCGTTTATCACTAGCACGGTGCTGGTTGGACCTCGCTCAGGAAATTGGTGCGACTTGTCTGAGACTAGTTCACTCTCTGCAATCCGAGAGCTAATTCTGCTCTTCGCTCTTCCTGGATTCTAGGAAGAATGGGGCAGAGTATCTAAGTAATTAGTTTAGATGTTGATAATACGACGAAGAATTGATGGAGTTCAAATAGAACTATTCATAGTAGACTGCTTTCTCCATGCCTCATCAAATACTCCAAGTATAGCCGCAACACTATCAGTAGTCCCACGTCCGACTTTCTATTAACCTCGGCATTGATTGAACATTGGACATTACGTGTCCATGTGAATTCTGTGCGGTTGGTCTTCACAGGACGAACTCAGTGGAAGACTCATAGAAAGCGGCTCTGAGGAAGGCGAAATCCGCCGAAACGTCAGCTTTTACGTGAGTGGGGAAGTAGAATAGCACCTCGTGTTCGCTGAACAGAAGTGGAAAGAATTGTACTATCAGTACTCCTAGTCTTGAAATTGGAATTGAGCCTAGAACACAACATTGGGAGCAAGAAACATGTTTTTTCCTTTCCGTTCAAAATCCACTTCAATAATGCATCGAATCTTAGCATATTTCTTCGGTGTAGTATGTCACCAACCGAAGATCCCTTGATGATTGTGGTTCGAAACAGTGTTATAACTAGTGCCGAAAACTGCTGTTGCCATACTAGTCAGCTCCTAATACAACTCTTTAAACGCTATAAAATAGGAATAAAGGATAAAGCTTTCGCCGTTGATCTATCCCTGGGGGTGCGCCATGCATTCGACTTCATTAAGCGTCGTTGGAGGTGATTGAATACATATCTAGCCATAATGACTCACGCTGGCCTACCGATGTATCAAGCCAGTGCTGCTATCGTACCAGACAAGTCTGGTACCAATTCGCCGAGCTCGGAAAGATGGAAAACTTGGTGGGTCTAGGGTACTGAGATCAATCCCATGAGTATTACCGTCCCGCTACACACGCCCTCTACTATACCGCTTGCTTGATCACTATACGTTACTATAATTATGTTCCGCATCTTAGGTGATCATCAAGATCAAAATTGCAAACACCTTACTGGAACCTAGCATTCCGTGACTCACGCTTCCTCAGACTCATCTAGGAAATCAGCTCACGATCAGGTTGAAGAAAGGGCTCAAAAATATTTTCGATCCCCAGACCATTCATATTGACGGGTAATTGCTGATAGCACCGCTAGGTAAAAAAAGGCTGAGAGAAAGACAAAGCAAAGACCGTAGTGGTGCAGTGGGCAACACGTGAGCTCCAGGAAAGAGTAATCACGGGTTCGAATCTGGCCTAGGGTCCAAGTCCTGCAAATATCTCAGCATGATAGTGGTTCAAAAATAGATGCTGGATATTATTAGCGATTTGAAACCAATGGTGTAGATAAGCACCACATGTATGTATATACATATACAAACAAATGGAGTGGAACCAACTCTTGGAATACATTGAGTAGCTGGGAGTTTAAAGGACATGTGCCGCCATTGAGATGGTCACACAACGAATGCCTATTTTCAATACGTTTTGCGGGAATGTTCTCATGTCCTGCTGTCCACTTTTCGTACGATATGAATCCATCCACTAAGTGATACTCGTTGCTTACTGGCTATTTCTTCTTGCGTTTTCATAATAAAGAAGGCTGAGAGAACGCTAAACGAAGGGCATGTATGGTGTGGTGGTGAGAACGTTAGCCCCGCAAAGGGTAATAGCGCAGACACCTGCTGTCCGGAGTTTTGCAAATATCTCAGCACCATTATGGTCGTTTTCATGGTATTTAAGTCTTCATTTCTTAAGAAGACGTAGTTCTTTTTTACTACTACGCCAATTTGAAGTCCTTTTGTCATTTTTTTACTACTACGCCAATTTGAAGTCCTTTTGTCATCTTTAAGTATTCTATGTTTCGTTCAGGTTCGTAGAGCTGTTCATTGTGATCGGGTGATGACATCTGGAAATGAGTCTCTGCTTGCCTTAACGGGTAAACGTACCACTGGCCAGAGCATTCGAACTCAAAATGGTAAGATTTCGTGGAATATAATTGTTTCTATGAAACACAAGAAAGATATATAGGAAACAATTCTTCCTACCTTTCATTCATAGTTGGCAGTGTTCTTTTATAGTGACAGCTGCTGTAGCTATTGCAAATATCGTAAAGTCTTCACTTGGTCCGGTCGGACTTGACAAGATGCTTGTGGACGACGTTGGAGTGGGTCCCGTTTGTTATTCTTTTCTGGCTTAGGCTTTAACTTTGAGATATTTTTGATCAAAAAAATCATTCAGAGCTGAGATTTAGTGTTGCTGATTGTATTCCTTGCTCATACTATATGGCGTACCGATACTAGTAGACTCTTAGGATGTAGTTGTGACGAACGATGGTGCAACCATTCTGAAGCAACTCGAAGTCGAGCATCCTGCTGGAAAAGTTCTTGTGGAGCTTGCACAGCTTCAAGATGATGAGGTAGGTAATTTGGTACTTATTTGAATAATTAGATGGCGCGTCTTCGCTTTTTGTGCGGGCCCCAATGTAAGTTCCGTGTTTTCGGAGTTTTGCTAGTTTACTTGTTGTGGTTCTCTGGAGTCCCGAGGTCAGTCAGACCATGGTTTGCCCCAGGTCATCACCAACACAGGCAGTCTCCGCCCTTGTGGTTCAAAGGGAGATTTGCCACCATGTGACTAGTTTGATAGCAGGACAGTGGGAGGATTCTGATATTGGTTTACTCTTAGCTGCGCTTCTTGATAGAAACGCCGGACTTCTCAGCTTAAGAGGCTGGGATGTGGGGATGAATCCCCGCATTGTACATCGTAGCCCGATACCGAAGAGTACCTTCCACTCGTGATGAGGTTGTAGACCATTGGAAGGACGTTCCGTATATTCCTCGTCATATTCACGCACAAGTGTGTGGGTGTGCTTATGTGCATATGCGCGCGAACTCTATTCTAAAGCGCGGTAAACTGTTTGGGAGGAAGTAGGTCCACAGACCTACTTATAGTCACTCCTTTTTCCTGTTTTTCTTTCTTCTTTTCTTTTTGCTTTCCTCCTATTGGATCCTCATTGACTTTTCATATTTATGGGGATTGCTGTGTATTAACCGGTGCATCTTTATTCAGCTTTGTTGAAAGAGTGTTGTATTGTGGCTGTAACTTGTTTCTAGGTCCAGTTATGTTTTTCGTGTCATCAGTTTTTCAAGTCCTTTTCATTTTATTTTTGCTTGGTTGATTAATGAATATCTGAGGTTTTTACTGGGTGTGTTTAGGTTGGTGATGGTACTACCTCCGTTGTTATTCTTGCTGCTGAGCTTCTGAAGGCAGCTGATGAGCTAGTGAAGAGTAAACTCCACCCTACAACGGTTATCAATGGCTATAGGCTTGCATGCAAGGAAGCCGTGAAATACCTTCAGGTGAACGTTTTGTGTGTGAGCTTTGTATGTGCGCCACATCTTTTTCTGCAAATATGCTTGTTTTTTTAAGTTTTCTGGTGCTAATTTTTATGAATTTACCTTGCAAATTCCATCCTGGCGGCTTTTTAAGAACAAGTTCTATGTCCGATGCTGCCACTTCTTTTTATATTTTGTATGCTCAAGGTCATCCTGGCCATGATAGATAATTATCTTTTTTCTTCTTATCTTATCTTTTATCTTTTATCTATCTATCTTTCTATCTTTCTATCTTACTATCTTTTAAGTCTTTTCAAGACTCGTAATTCATGTCAGTTGATACTCTACCTCTTTAGGAAAATTTGTCGTTTTCCGTAGATGAACTGGGTCGTCAGTCAATAGTTGAGGTCGCGAGGACAGCCATGAGCAGCAAAGTTATTGGACCGTAAGCTTTCTGACCGCTTTTCATCACTTTTGTTCCACTTCGTTTTCCCATACATTTTTAGCGATTCTGATTTCTTCGCACCACTTTGTGTAGATGCAGCTGAAGCAGTGAAAGTAACAGACTCAGCTGGAAAGGTGCGGTGGTGTGCTTGCAGTTCAATAGTTCCGCATTGAAATCCGCATCCTATCTAGGTCACTTATCCCATTGCTGCTGTAAACGTTCTGAAAGCTCATGGAAAAAGTGCCCGTGAATCGAGGTTGATCAAGGGATACGCTTTAAACTGTACTGTTGCTAGTCAAGGTTTGGATTGCATACAATAAATATCCGATTTAAGCGTTTACTTCCAGTAATGTTTTTATTCCAGCAATGCCCCTTGTCGTTCCTAATGCTAAGATCGCTTGTCTCGATTTTTCTCTGCAAAAAACAAAAATGCATCTCGGAATTTCCGTGGTTGTTGAAAATCCGGAGAAGTTGGAGGCAATCCGGCGAGAGTCAGTTACTATGGAATATTCACACGGCTTAGTGTTTCGTTTATTTTTCTGTTTTTTGTTGTTTGAAAAGTGCATGAGTTGTCTACAGAGAGTTTGATATTACAAAACGTCGAATCGAAAAGATACTGAAGGCTGGAGCTAATGTTGTTCTAACAACAGGAGGTATGCCTTTCTTTATATTTTGTATTTCTGTTCAGATAATTTTAAAATGGCTTTAGGAAAAATATCTTGAAACAAGTGGAAAATTCAGGTCATTTTTAGGAATCGACGACCTCTGTCTGAAACAGTTTGTTGAGGCGGGCGCAATGGCTGTCAGACGTTGCAGAAAAGTGGACTTGAAGCGTATCGCAAAAGCTACTGGAGGTGGGTTTCTCAAGGTGCCTTTAGCTAGAAAAGAATTTAAATTTTCAGCAATAATTGTTGCTAAGTCCATATTGGGGACTTACATTCCGTTCTTTTTTAAGGAACTGTGTTCTTATGGTTTCCATTCTTACATTCTCTATCTCTTTAAATATACATCCATGATCGTGTCTGAGTTTAGCAACGCTTGTGAGCTCTCTGGCAACATTAGAAGGGGAGGAGGCCTTTGATGCATCACTTCTTGGCCACGCCGAAGAAGTGGTACAAGAGCGAATTAGTGATGATGAACTGATCCTTATCAAAGGCCCAAAGGCTCGCACCGCAAGCTCAATAATTCTGAGGTACCATTTCTAAGCTTTATGTTAAAGTTAAAGAATGGTCTTTTGGTACATTTCTTTTTTCATTCTTCTTTCTTTTTATTCACCGAACAAACTTGTATTCTCAGAGGTGCCAACGACGTAATGCTGGATGAAATGGAACGGTCGATTCACGATGCCCTGTCTGTCGTTCGTCGTGTATTGGAGAGCCGTCGTCTGGTGGTTGGGGGCGGTGCGGTGGAAGCGGCACTGAACGTATGGCTGGAAGCTTTTGCAACTACTTTGGTTCGTCTGCCTATTTCTTTTAAGGATAAATAAAGATAATAACACCTTTGTAAGGTTACTGAAGCACTCAAAAGTTTGTATATGCTTTAGTCATCTCGGGAGCAACTGGCAGTCGCTGAGTTTGCACAGGCTTTGTTGGTGATTCCCAAAACGCTGTCGGCGAATGCTGCTAAAGATTCAACGGAACTGGTAGCTAAATTACGAGCGTTCCATCACAAAGCGCAAACAAATCTGCAATTGCAACATCTGAAATGGTAAATCTTGTGCCCATAAACGTTTCGTCGCAATGTTTTGGAACGAGATTGTGCGACACTGTGGTATTTGAAAGCAATTTGATCAGTTTCTGCAAAGGTTTGCCCATAAAGCTCCTGTTTATTTTTCAGGGCTGGTCTCGATTTAGAGTCTGGAGATATCCGTGACAATCGCACGGCTGGTGTGTTAGAACCTCTCCTTATCAAGGTGTGTTCTTGTTTGTAAACGATTGCGGATGGCTCCTTGTTTTCTGGTGGTTATTAAATCAATCGAAAAGAAATAGTAGTGTAGTGATTAAGTATGCAAAAATCACCAACGCTCCGAAACTGAAAATTTTTGAAATATACACTTGAGTCAAAATTTATCGAGTTGAGAAAACATTTTTGAGAAAATGGCTTCATATATTTCTGGCACATGGGCCAAAATATGGTGTTCAAACGACTGTTGTTTTATAGGTGAATTATGGTTTTTGTCTTAGTTCTGAGTTTTCTCTGGAGAGCTGTGAGAGCCGCTATTGCTAAAACCAGATAACGTAGCGTTTAGTTGCAAATGTTTCCAACAAGAATAGTTTCGTTTTAGGTAAAATCTCTGAAATTTGCGACAGAAGCAGCCATTACGATACTTCGCATAGATGATCTTATTAAGTTAGACAAACCAGAACCGCAACGCGATGGCGATGAGTGTGGTGCATAAGGGAAGATATTTTCCAGTATTGTTAGTGCTAATTAACGGTTGTTAGATAATGATTATGTTCGAATTTCGAAGTCTCTCACCGAGAGCTGTGCTTAAATACTTTTTTGTTTCGTTATAGTTTTTGTCTTCGTCTTGTTTTCGCGTCCCATGAATGTTTTGCTGTTATGTGGAGTTTATGGTGACACCAAACCAAGGCCATGTTGTCATATGCAGTACCGTGGAGTATTTTTTTTGGTTATGAATATGAAAAACACGGTGGTACAGTCACACGGGTCCACGTTCAGATTTATCCCTTCATCCACAGTATTGCGTTTATTCATATAAACAAACGGTCGTCGCGTTTGTCAATTTGTTTGACGATGCGTGCGATCTAGTTACCAACCTGAAATGGACGGAAGTCGTAGAATTAGCTGTTTGGACGAATTTTACCATGCATTTGATTAAGAATTGGTTGAAAAACCATATGATTTGAATTTAGGCGATAAGCAGGTAGTTACAATGGAACTTTTGGAAAGAGTTGTTACGAACGGTATGAGGTGGACAAGCAAATTTGGCATCATTCTTGTTGAATATTGAGTACCAAGATCACTAAAGACGAACGGTTTAACGAAGTCCCTGTTTTTCCAAACGGAGTAAGAATTTTATGAGATTTTAGTTCTACAATATTAGAAAATGCTCCAATAGAAGGATAGCGGTCGGTGTGATAGATCCCGGTGGTGGATCTGCTAACATATGCAGCGCTAACCCATTCAAAACCATGCGCACTGGTTTCAGTGTGTGCACTGGTGAACGTTTTGGATTGTACATTTAGATCTCAATGCGCATTTCGATTGCGTTCCTATGACACGCGGTTCGACGAGCTCAACGCGTGAAAATGGCGAGGGTGGTAAACGGGTTGAATCAGAGTGAACAATGTATGGGTAGAAATGTGTTGAAAAGAGGTGAAGGAATTCATCCATCTGTGCAAAATATCAAAAAGGCAACAATTTACAAGGAAACACATTAAAATCACTAGGTAATACCATGTTTATATCGCAGCCCGATATTTAAGAGCTTCATCGGTCACGATTGGTAAACCACAGGGAGTAAATCCTTGTTCTTCCGATGTACGGCGTGTGATGTAGCCGTTCATGTACATCAAAAGTTATCGTGCTAGCAAGAAATTTCTAATTTCTTGCACGTAAAGTGTAGGATTCGTTTGGGATTTCTAAAAGTAATAAATGACCACATCACGTACCCTTCTCCGTAGCTCATGATATAGAACAGGGCCAATAGAAGAGTTGTTCCTACTAAATCACCAATGGAAGTCAGCAACGGTATGGCGTGCATGTCCGGATCAATTCCATAGTGAAACAGCCCGTAAACTAACACTTGAGACAAATACACAAAGAAAAACACCTGAAATAACATCATAACACCGTAATTGCTCATCCAAACAATGTTCTAACGATTTTCTGGGTTTTTTAATTGAGCTTTTCATCATTCGATTGGACCGTCTTCAATAAAAATCGTGTGAGTCCAATAGAATTCTTATGTAAATGGTGATCGAACGATCAGGTAGCAGTGCTAGGGCATTTCTAAATTGTCAATACAGACACTGGCGGTATCCTATGGATTAGAGGGAGATTTGCCAATTTGAATAACAGACTGTGTCAGCGCTTCGATGACTCTTGGCATTGGTTGATTTTTGGCTGGAGTTCCGCATGAAAGCATTTCCTTTTCAACTTGAGATATCAGGCTTAGGAGCTGAAGCTCCCATTGTACATTGCAGTTCGATACCTAGTAACATCCTGTCAGCCACAAGGCGGTAAAAGCACTGAGACATCCTTGTCCTTTTACAATTTAGATGTCAAAATTGATCATTGGAAAGTGTTTTTTTAAATTCTTGTTTTAAGTGAGCCGTCATCAAATCTGCTGTGCAGATCCCATCATTTCTTGCATTCGATTCGTTTCCTCGCATCTAGCGTGTTCTTTCAGCCGCTGCTTGGGAATTTCATCTTCTTCATGGCCGTAGTAGAATGCTGGTCAAGTCAAATTTTCTTCCAATCCTGGAGATAGCCGGACTAAGGTATTCCCACTTAGATTGGATAAGAGCATTGAGGTGGGATCGAATTAGCGCCTTTTCATCCTGATCGACGGCATCACTAACTACTGTGCTATCCCCGCCCCATTGGCTTGCTTTATAAAAATTCGTTTCCCAAGAGATAAAAGAGATAACTTGCTGACGTAGTATATTTAACGATGGTGACGATAAGGAAATGACATTCGCTGAGCATTCTATCCTTGCCAGAAAGCGATTATCTCGTTCATGGATTGATAAGTACGAGAATTCATCGCCTTCGAGGTTATCACGATTCACATAGCGATACAGGCAACATTCTCTCATGGAATTAAAGCTGTTGACGTCATCAAAATGAATTTTTCCCATATTCAGTCTTTAACTCACATTCAAGCTCTCGGTTCAGTCTTACCTGTACAGAGGCAGTAAAAAGATATCCGACAAAGAACACAAAATTCAAGTTCAACGGTGTCATTGCAATCTTAGCGATCGCGTATGATATCATGACGAAAAGCGCTTGATATGGCACTGCACTGATCAGTAGAAATCGAGCGACTTTACTTTCATGATCTAAAAAAATAAGCTTGGAAGTAAAGTGAAACAAAAATAACCAGAATATTGTTAACTTATTATTTACTGCCTATTGTTATTTTTCACGACATGGTATGATGCAGAATGCAACCACTATGATGCTGGGATATTTGCAAAAGTTGGACCCCATCCCAGATCAAACCGTGGCTACCCTTTCCGGGGTCTCACGTCTTACGCGCGGCACCACTGATGCCATTGCTTTGCTTTTCTCTCATGCAGTTTTCTACCCAACGGGACCATCAGTAATCATGCGTCAAAAGGAGTGAATGAACTGAGGATCACAAATTGGCATTAAACCCTATTAATTTGAGGCTGCAGTCGAAATTACAATGTATAACTTTTATGTGCTGCCCATCACTTAGATAAAAGTCATTCATTGCGAGACTACAGCCTCGGCTTAACTGGGTTCAGTTCTGATTTCTGCTCGCCAGATCAATCTCGTTGGCGGGTGGTTGCTGATGACAACGTTAGGTAGAAAACTCGCTGCGAGAAAGGGAAAGCAAGAGCCTCAGCGGTGCCGTACGTAAATGAGAACATTGTCTAAAACAGTTATCGATGAAGGCACATATAATCTACAGTAACAGAGATGCGAAAACAAAATTCGAAACGCATCGTTACTCACCTGAACTTGTATAGTAAGTCCATGGATTAAGACGTATGTGCAATCGATTTGACCCTCTATAGGTGTGTAGGTACGAGCCGATTCTTGCCGAATGCACACTTGCGCGATTTCCAGTACTTCCTGTGCAAATGTAACGGGTCTAATAAGCGCTTGTTACGCGTGAGTAATCAATTTTTATGCTTCATGTGCGCCATGTGCTTCATGTGGATAGTCGTTCCTTACAAGGATTTTCCGATAGTATTGTCATTCTGTTCCTTATTCGCTTCGAACCATTTTAATTTTACGCTGTAACGCGGCAGTTGGAACGGTGATGGTACGACCACAAAAAAGGTACTGTAGTATACATAATAGAGTACATCAAAAGGATTTTGAAGAAAAAAATTGGATAAAACTGGTATAATAACAAATCCTGACCAGTTATAAGTGGTTGGTATACAGTGAGTTCAGGGAAATTCATTGCACCGCGAGATTGAACGAATCCTGCACCACTGGAAGTTAAGAGTGGCGTTCTTTGAACTCTTTCTCTTAAGCAGGTTCCTCGCAGATTTTTTCGAAATTGTGAACTGGCTTACCTGCTCAAAATTGATGCTAATAATAAAGATGCACCTTGTTGACGAGCAGCTAACCATGCCTCTTCATCTTGATCTGAAATGTATTCGAATCCAAGATAGCTGAAAGACAAGTGGGTCAACCAACTACAGTATCGGAAGAAAAGGTGGATATGACGATAAACTTACGGGCTACGTATAACCATAAAGGTACCATCATTAAGAAAACGACTATTACTACTACAGGAACAGCAGTTGAACTCGTTGAAAATGGATAGTATACGATGCCGATGCTCAGCTAAAACCGAAAGTCGTACTCATGAATAAAAAATGTTATCATCATGGTGGTTTGGCGTTACGATGTCAAATGCCACTTTAAAACTTCGCAATTTTTTTTTCTCAAAGCTCTTTTTCGCTTACAAATTGATAATTACTAGGAAGAAGTGGTTTCAAAAAAAGAATGAGAAAGTCGTTCGTGTAGTACAGTGGTTAGAGGTGCACGTTTGAATGCACATGGATCGGTTCAATCTCAGGTTGTGGGGTAAACAAAGCCTCCTATCCTTCCAGGGTCGGTAGATTTAGGAACAATAGCAGACTTGTCCAGAATAAGCAGAGCGCCAGAATAACTTGGTATTTGCCGCAACTCATTCTAAAGACCAAGTGTGAACTTAATGTGGCTAACGATGTCACGAATGGAGTTGAATGCATGGAGCTCTGTTTAGCGATGTATCAACTATATCCTTTCTATTATGTCATAAGGAGAAAAATGAATAATAGAATCTATTTAGATATACCTTCAACGAAAAGCTCAAGTAGGTTAGCTGAGTTTTTTTTTTCAGAAAAAAGGTAATGTACCATTGTTATTATCGTCAGTAGATCACCACCACTAGACGCAAGTGGAGTAGCAACATTATCCGGATTAATAGAAAATTTATAGGCGACCATAACAACGATGAACATCCCTTAATAGAACATGGAAAAATCTAGGATGAGATGTTTCATTTTTTATTTTCTGCCCACTACAACTTTTACGGCAGTGTAAAAGGATAAAGGATAAAGCTCTCGGCGTTGATCACTCCCTGAGGAATGCGCCATGCATTCGACTTAATTAAGTATCGTTGGAGGCGACTGAATGCACACCTGGCCTCTACAATGACTTGAGGTGGCCTACCGATATATCGAGCTAGTGCTGCTATCCTCTCAGACAAGTCTGGTACCAATTTGCCTACCCCGGAGGGAGGGAAGGCTAGGTGAGCCATGGGCGCTGGGATCGATTTCATGTGTGTGTCTCAGTGGCGCCTCAAACCACTGTGACACACGCGCTCCTCACGGCAGGGTATTAAGCGAAATACAACCACAAGATACCGAGATCTTTGCAAAACTCCGGACTGCAGCTCCCGTTGTCGGATGATTACTGATGGTGCTGATCGATAAAACTAGCGGAGAGATAGGCGAAACGAAGGATCCGCATGGTGTGGTGGTGAACACGTTATCCCCCGGAAAGGGTGGTAGCGCGTTCGTTCACCACCGTAGCCACTTGCAGTCCGGAGTTTCGCAAATATCTCAGCATCTTGTCGTTGTATTTCTAGGATGAGAAATCAATATTAGGAACGAATGATTGCACATCAATAGTGGATTATCCTTTCTTAACTAAGAACTTCACAAATTCCTTAGCGGAGGCGGTAGCTTCCTACTAGGTTTTCTATGACTCTATGGATTTTACTTCATAAGGCACTTTTGCCACTGCGATGACCGCTTAGATTTCTTATCTGCATGTTTCCTTTTTTATTAAAAAAAAATCCTCGTTTTGCAGATGACATTCGGCGAAAAGGGAACGAATGGAGATTAAGCTGGCATTCGCACAATCAGTGAATATGGGTTATGATTCAAGTAAATAATAAAAAACCGGTATAGAAAGCAGTTGGGAAAAAGATCACACATGACGAAACTAATGTTACTCTTAATTAGCAAGTAATGTGGACTTTGGTATAGAGGCGAAATCTGAATTATCCCACGGAAAACGTACATAAGGTAATATTAAGGAGGTCGTACAAAAAGGAGGGACGCAGGAGGTGAGGAGTGTCGCGCAATAATGAAGTGCATGGTCCCTGGTTCGACCCAACTCCAATTTAACCAAACCTTCCATCTCTTTATTCTTAGCAAAATAGTACAACCTAAACCAAACCAAGAAGTGCTAGGTTCCGCACAATATGTGAACTCGTGTCATATAAATGAAGAATGATATAAAAGGTATTATTATAGTCGAAAGGTAAGCTAACCGTTTGATGAAATCGCCGACGCAATACACATTGAAAATAGCGAGTTTGAGCCGAGGAAGAGGAAATTCTTCACTGGCCAGTCATTCTTGGTTTCATTTGGTGATGTAATGTCCAAGAAGAATGAGATAAGTGTAGCGAATAAACTAATGAATATCACCTGAGCCTGCAAAAATGCGACAGTGCACAGCGGCTAAGCAGCACATGTAGAGAAATCTAAAGACGTCAACAGCGTACCTGCATCACAGCGATATTTCTTAGTATTCTTTTCAAACGACCTGGATACTTCCGTAGACGTCCTTGGTGAGCCTTAACGGGTTACTATAATAAATATAGCACTAAAGAAGAAGAGCGTGAAGATATACTTCATGCTTAAGTACCCCGCATCCACGAACATCAAAAAAGTGCTTGGAGGGAGAGAAGGCCGGATGATGCTGTCCCTCGATAGTGTACCAATTAAACTGAATGCTATGTTGTTGGCTTGCCGATTTCTTTATCAAGATTCCTGAGATACTCACGCCAAGTTTTTCTCAGGTTTCCATCACATGCAGTCGTCGACAGTTGTGGATCGGGAGAAAGTTCGATACATTGCAACTTAGTTTCTTTCCAGAAGACAACTATTTTTCGCACTGGTTTACCCAGAGATTGGATTTCGGATAGATACAGTTTTTGTCGAACTTTTTCACCATTTAGATAACTTTGTCACAAAACACTGCCGCCTGACCGTGCTGCGAGTTGCTTCGCAAAAGATTAGCCATTTTCTTTCAAATAGCGTCTCAGTATTTTTCTTCCCCATTATTGTCGATGGGGCAGATAGTGCAGTGGCTATGACGCCGACCACCGTGAGCGTGGTTCTGGCTCACTCATGTCCTCGGTTCACAATCATTCGACGACATGCATGACGAAAGGAAAATCCTCAAGTAGGATCAGAACCGAGGCGGGATAAAAAAGTTGAAAAATTTTCCATAAATGAAGGATGCAAGGAAGCGAATCGAATGCAAAAAGTACTGGAAAGTGAAGTAGGTGTGAGAGACGGCTCGTCTAAAAAAAATTAATTTAAATGATAGGAGTGGAAATAATTGTGTGCTTTTCGTGTTTGCCTACGGTGGAGACCTAGGTACGCTTTTTGGAGGTTATGTCGTGATCCTAGGGAATACCATTCTTAACTGGCAACCAACGTTTGAGTAAGGTGAGAGACAACAGATATTCAAGCTGCAGCCGAAGCCATAATCGACCCAACTACTTCCATGTAAGATGATAATTTTATGAATGCGAACAATGACCATCTAGGTAGTCAAGTATAGGATTGGCTAATAGAGTTCTTTCTCAAAAATCATCTACCATGGTGCCAAGTCTTGATGTGAATGTCATGTCCAAATTTCCTTTCATAGCTTGCAGTGGTGTACAAATAGCAATAAACTGTGGAACCTGCAATGAAAAATGTTCTAGAAGGAAAACACGGCCTCATTTTTCGATCCCAAACAGTAATCAATATTGCCAAACATGACTGTACACGTTTAGCAGAGTATTTTTATTAAGACATCTGGTATAGATTAGACGGAACTCGTAGAGCAGTGGAATAAAAGTTAGTTTGCAAACGCATGAACGCGTCTTCTGATCCATGCTTTGCAGTACAGATTGTCACCGGTTTGATTCCCTCGCGCGTATGCCCACCAAACACTCCGTCCCTCCGGGGCCGCCAAATTGGTACCAGACTTATCTAGGAGGACAGCAGCACTGGCTCGATACATCGGCAGGCCACTGCGAGTTATTGTAAAGGTCAGATGTCCATTCAATCACCTCCAAACGATGCTTAATGAAGTCGAATGCATGGCATCTCTCAGGAATTGATCAACGCCAAGAGCTTTATCCTTTATCCCTTTATGACCCTATTAAGAATGGAGTCCAATGCATAACAAATTTCGAAAGGATTTACCAACGCTGAACACTTTATCCTTTTATCTTTCAACTGAACCACGGATATGGTGAAGCTTCTCAGTGAGAGTTGGCATAGTCGGATGCCACTCATTTGAGTGCATAGCTATTACACAAGATGTTTCGTATGTCTTTTTTCTCAATCATAGAACCATGAGATTTGTAAAGTAATTTAGTGCGTAATAAACTAACGTCACAAACGAGTGGCGCCTTTTGCACACGATTCATCAGCAGTCCAGTGGATAAGGAACCTAATCCAGCGAGCAGGAACGGTATAAGCGTCTGAATTCAAGAACAGTGTGAGCAGCGAACAAATTCTATCCAATATTTGTTTATGTTTCAGTATTTCCCTCATTTGAATGACCCCGAGCCAACTAGTCGTGAAATAACAAAGGAAGGTATTTAGGAGCTGAATGTACACGGTTGAGGCAAACGCAGCGGTAAGAGATGTTGTGCAATAGAGAAGAGGTTAGTAGTTCGTCGCCGTCTTAGGACAACTAGGCATCTCATCTCTCTGTGCTCGGAAAAATTGTGTTTAAATGGTCTAGGAAACAGCTCCTTATCCACAAAGGCCGGAAACTACCTATGTCGAGGATCAAGAAACTCTGTAATTGAACTCCACCTGGATTTCAGGTGGACCAGCATTCAACGACACTCGTAAAAAACACAATGCTTTCAATTGGTCGCATGAACCTAGCGAACTTACACGTACATCCAAATAGTCTCGTGCATGACGGAGACGAGGTATCGAGCGGCATGAAGAAAGTGCTTGAATCCACCATGAAGTCGGATTATATAAAGAGGGAATAAAGTGTACAAATACCCACTCACTGGTGGATTTATTTGGAAGGCTTGTATCCATGCAAGCCGTTTACTGTTGATTCAGCGAAAACCGAATAACAAAATTGGTATTGGAGAGCTGCTCGAGGCCGCCTACAAGGGACAGTTCCAAATCCAGCATTTGCAGGGACCTCCCGATAATCTGCTATTCGCTTTGGAGCATTTCACATCTGTCGAAAGGACAAAGCCTAGTGGGGAAGTCTTCTGTTGCGCAACAAGGGCGTGCAGAAACACTTCCAATGCATTTTCATTATAATACCAAGAAATTTTTACCTCACTTTACTTCTTTTCGCTTTATTTTACATTTATCTCAGAAACTTCTTGAAGCAAATCTAATCCACCTGACAAAAGACCTCAGTAGTGCGCTCGTCCATCATAGCGTGGGTGGACTGTTCCGAGCTTTCTTCCGCTGTATTCAGTGTCGTTTTTCTACTTTGTTTCTGGAACGAGAACTGTATTTTCCATTTCTCATAAAAGAATCGGCATAGAGGGTAAAAGGATAAAGCTCTCGGCGTTGCTCAATCTCTGAGGGATGCGCCATGCACTCGACTTCATTGAAGTTCGTTGGAGATTTTTGAATGCGCATATGGCTTTTACAATGCCTCGTGGTGTCCTATCGATGTATGGAGCCAGTGCTGCTACCCTCTTAGACAAGTCTGGTACCAATTTGACTATCCCGGACAGATGGAAGGCTTAGTAAGCCTGGGGCCCTGGGATCGATCCCATGTGTATTGCAGGGCGCCTCCGACCACTGCTCTCCATGCGCCCCGAAGGAATCAATATAAAGCAGTGAAATTGCACAGTGTGGAATATTCTCCAGAAAAGAGTGGTTATTCGATGGGAAATGAAATATAATGGAGCAGTTGCTAAATTCGTCGTTGTCGTTCAGCGCATTGTTACGAACCAGAGGTGTTCGAGGTTGTCCAGTTACGACGTAGAGATAAGATTCATCTCTCGGCAGAGGGTTAAACAGGCTGAAAGTTTCTCATTATTTACTAGTATTGTTCTAAACCATTTCCGTCGTGATTTTGAACGTCAGATGTGGCATTCTAGATGATTCCATGCCACTTTCACAATTACTTCTTAAGCAACGGATACTGTAGCTAAGTACCTACGTCGGAATCATACAATGATGTTGTTATTGTAATTTCTTCAGCTGTACTATTTGACTGATTCGGTTGAGTTTCATGCTTCTTCTTATTCTCTAAAAGTGGTTCATTCATCGATTCGCCTTTCAATTTGTGATCGGATGACATCTTGAGCTATAAATAGACCATATGAAAAACAGCCTACAATTCATGAAGAAGATGGTACAGTACATTTGCTTGTTCAGTCTTAGTAAGCAGTTTTATGTGATAATTGAACTTCCAGCAGAGTAAAAAGGTATGTAAGGTTTTGCATATATTGACATTCACTACGTTTTCCCATTGAATACTAAGGTTGAATATTGGAAAATGCTTTAATAAGGTGACAGCTTTAGTCTTGGCCTTTCTTTCAAAACCTTTTGCTACCAGACCTAGGAATTTTGATGGAAACACTTAGAAGGGAAGGAATGAAACCGACCTTTTTACGGTTTACCCATACTAACAATAAGGAATATCTGTTTGTACAAAATGTGACTAATCGTTACGATGATGATACGAGAAAGTTTTGGACTGTTATTTGATTTGCGACCGTATCCAGTTCAAATGTTATGGTCTTCGTTTCCGGTTAATCACATCCGTGACTTGAACTGGGTTTTGAAGAGATTTGTAATCAGAGAAAACATCTTTATTAAGAAGATATAAAGTGATCTTTGTTTTGGAGCACAGCAAATCCTTTGCATATGAGAGGTCTTGAAACGGGTAGTCCTGAAGCAACATTGCTTCCATGTCCATAGATCGCGGAGGGTGCGACTTATCGCCCATGGATTGTGACCGTGTAGGTGTGCCTTGAGGTATACATGGGTTCAAGAGATGGTGTCTCTATGTCCAATGTGCTAGATTGACTTCACTTTTTTCCCTTCGAAGAGAGTATACCTCGAGAAGCAATTTGCTAAAACAGTAAACGGTCACACCTCATTCACTTTGTAGGGATCTTTAGTACATTATTCAGGAAAGACTCGGAAAATCTACTTACCTACCTACCTACTACCTACCTTAAATCTCTGAAGAGTACGGTGATCTATCAAAGTTGCAGAGGGGTATGAAGAAGATTTATAGGTAGGTGACGTTATCCTGTTTCCAACATTCACTTTATGCATAAAATACACAAGTGTACAATAGTGATTACCGTGAGTTGATTGCCCTACAGTGCAACTCATTGGTGCCATAGGTTGCCTACGATAAAGGTGGAGCGTTGCTCTTATTACGGGTACGTATTAGGTCGCTCGAATATATATGTAAAAGGATAAAGCATAAAGCTCTTGGCGTTGTTCAATCCCTTAGGGATGAGCGATGCATTCGACTTCTGTAAGCATCGTTTGGAGGTGACTGAATGCATATCTGGCCTTTACAATGACTCGCGGTGGCCTACTGATGTATCGGCTACTATCCTCCCAGACAAGTACGTGTGTAGCGGGACGCTTCGGACCACTGCGCAACATGCGCTCCTAAGCTGGAATATGTTCCAACAGGTACCTGCTGGAAAAACTCGGTAATTTTATTTCACTGGATAAGTAAGATTCATTATTACGGTTTCAGTCTCCATTGCTACATAAAGTACAGTCATAGTGCTCCCACAGAATGGACGATGGCGCGTAGCAACTGCCTCCAATCGAAGACGCGGAAATTTCGTCCGCTAACGTGCTCCATACCATAGGTAATCAGTGCTCCAATCGTGTCGCACCAGGAAACATGGTCGAATTCTGGATTGCACAATTACATTTTCTACCATTCATTACTAGTGCAGCGTTGATGATACTCTTTTAGCAGAGAACATGGATGTCTCACGAGTAGTGAAGTTCGAATCCCATACAGGTGATCCAGAACGGGACCTGGCGTACGAAAGGGAACGACGACGTTTAGGTTTGTGGCGTAGGAGTCTTCATTTGCTCGTAGATATGCTAGATATACTGTTTGAAATGTCTTGTCGGTTTGCTTAGATGATTACGTTTTTTTACCTCCCAATGGTTTATCGCCTCATCGTGGCTGGGAGGTGTTCATGGGTGTCTGGTTGCGATTTACACCGGAGGTACTCATAATCCTAGTAGTGTCTCCCAAGCTAAGCAGTCCGGCGTTTCCATCAAGAAGCTCAGTTAAGAGGAAACGAATACCAGGATCCACCACCGTCCTTTTATCAAAGTATTCACACGGTAGCAAATCTTCCTCTGCCCCACGGTAACGGTGAACGCCTACGGTCGTGACGACCTGCGGCAGACTTTGGCTAAACTGACATTGGAACTCCAGGGAACCATAACATCTAGAGCAGTAGTACCTTGAGGAAATGAGAATTATGATGGTGCTTGTACAACCAGTGAAGAGAGGCCATTCAAGTATCTGAATAGGTAAGTATTAAGTTCTTTTAATCGTAAAGATGGCTACGTGTTCTTCATTAACTGCGTTGTTTTTCATTATAAAACTGGTTCCTCAGTGATCATCTGGGTGATCAGTATCTTATTTGTTGTAGTTTAGCTTTCGCTCAAGTCTACCGTTGTGTTATTTTACCAGGTGTAATTAAAATTTGCAGTGGACGAGGATGGAGTTCCGACAGAAGTTGCCGATTATTTAGATTATTTTGCTCAGATGATCGAAAAGAAGGATGTTCTGGAAATCCACAATCTGTACGAGCAACATTTTCCGGATCTCACTGAGAGGTGTTCAGTTTTCCATTTGATTTCCTGACAATAGGACTTTCTGTTAAAACATCAACGAATTTTTTTCCGTGTTAAGGTTTTATCGTGAGCGGATGTGGCCTGATGAACAAACAGTGGAAAGCATTGTCGGTAGCGGTGAGTTATTGTTTTCTTGTTCAGATGGCATATCTTGCAATATTTTATGGGAAGGAGTGGCTAAGTTTTTAGGAGTTATGCTTTTTGTGTTGTGCTTTGTCGTAGGCGCGTGTAGCGCAGTGGTCGGAGGTTCCCTACAGTACGCATGGGATTGATCCGAGGACCCTAGGCTCACTAAGCCTTCCATCCCTCTGGAGTCGTCAAATTAGTACCAGACTTGTCTAGGAGGATAGCAGCACTTGCTCAATACATCGACAGGCCACCGCGAGTCTTTGTAAAAGCCAGATATGTTTTCAATCACCTCCAACAATTCTTAATGAAGTCGAATACAGGGCGCATCCTTTGGGATTGATCAACGGCGAGAGCTTTATCCCTTATTTGTGTCCTTTTGTCTTTATTTTCTTTCAGAAAGAATAACTGTTTAATGTGGAAGAGGTTGAAATCTAACTAAATTGTCGTCTTCCAGAGAATCGTCTTTTCATTGTTCTTTACAAAGAGCTTTACTATCGTCAAGTGTACGCACGCAACCAGCGGGGTCCATCTCTGGCGCATCGTTTCGAGTCTTTCATGAATTACCAGGTCCGTGACCTTTCCCTATGTAATTTCTTTAGTAATTTCTTTAGTTTACTCACTAACCTTGCATTCTAGGACTTATTTTCTGAGATTTTATCTAGTAAAGAGCCAGTGTCGTTAGCTCTTCCTAACGTTTGGCTCTGGGATATTATTGATGAATTTGTATATCAGGTAAATTTTCCATGTTTTTTTTATTTATTTTGACTTTTCTGCTGGTTTTCTTTTCGATGTGGAGGTGATTCTTTGCAGTTCCAAGCGTTTTGCCTATACAAAGCTAATCCTGGAAAGAGAAGTGTCGACGAAGTAGATGAGCTTATAAGTATCGAGGAGGCTCAGAATGTACCATTTGGTGTTTTACAAGCTTTTTCTTGTATATTCTAGATGATTTGTGGTCTTGCACAAACCTGGTTGACTTGTTGAGTAATGTTTCTGTGAATTTTGAGGCGTGGAACATTTATCCTGTGCTGAATATTTTATATTCGTTGTTATCTAAATCTCAGATAAACGAGCAACTAGTGGCCATCAAAGCACGGAGTGAGTTTACGAATAACCCATGCACGGCTCTCTTTGCTATCTATTTGTATTTATACTAGGAAATCCTGACGATGTTGCTGATGAATTTGGACAGTCGGCCCTTTATTTTAAATTGGGATATTTCTCGCTGATTGGTCTACTAAGAACTCATGTTCTACTTGGAGACTATCACCAGGCCTTGAAAACAGTGGAAAACGTTGAATTCGATGCGAAGGTTCGTAAGTGCCGTTCTTTGCCTTATTTGACTATTTGTGTCCCATTTGAGCCGTTTCATTATTGCATATATATCTTCTTAGAACATATGTCTGCCTAAAATTTTACTGAAATCAATGCCATAATGTTATTGTGTTCTCTCAAGGGGCTTTACAACACTGTTCCATCATGTCTTGTAACACTGCATTACTTTGTTGGTTTCTCTCATATGATGATGAGAAATTATGGCGAGGCAACTAGGATGTTTGCCAATTGCCTCGTGTTCATCCAAAGAACGAAGGCTATTCAGACCCAGCAGCAGAAACAGAAGAACTTCCAATATGACGTGGTAAGTTTGATGTTTTAAACATAGTTACATTATTTGTACATACATATATTTATGCATATTTTTTTAATTTTTATTTTTATATGACCCGTCTTCACTTCTATTATGTGGATCCCAGAATTTCTCACATTCGATTCGTTTCCTCGCATCCATTGTCCAGTCCACGAGGGTCTTCCAAGATTTACGTGTGGCTTCGGTTGCTGCTTGTGGATTTTCATTTCATCTTGAATTACGTAGAATGCTGGTTAAGCAATTCTCCCTGGAGTCCTGAGATAGCCGGACTGGAGCGTTTCCATTTGGATTGCAGAGAATGGTTTTTTCCCAGACAAGTTCGGTACCAATTTTCCAACCCCGGAGGAGTGATAGGCATGTTTGGCCCGGAGCGGAATCGAACTAGCACAATGCTCATGATATCATATCACTACCACTGTGCTATCCGCCCCATATATACATACATATATATGCGCGCGTATACACAGGCTTATGCATATGTGTATATATATATGCATATGTGCGTGTATATGTATGTATTTGCACATATTTGTGTATATTTATATATTACTGTACGACTTACTAATAAAACGGAAAAATGTTCCTGCTACCAAGAATATATTGCAGATTGGCAAGACTTACGACCAGCTTTTTCATCTACTGGCAATTTGTTTGGCCATTCAGCCGCAACGGATTGATGAGTCTATTGCTTCTCAGTTAGCCGAACGCTGTGGTGATCGCATGTCACGGATGACAAATGGGGACTTGGACGAGTTTCGCCTTGCTTTCCAAATGGGGTACATTTTTTTTCGAACTTCTTCTGCAGTCTCCTAAGTGGTATGGATTCCCAGTCATGATTTGTTTCTTTTTTCAAGAATACTTAGAGATTCGAAGCGGTCACGTTCTTCCTTTTTCTATTTTCTTCCATGTCTTCGGTGATATTTTCATAGAACGGTTCTCTATTTCACCTTTTCAAGCTGTTTACATAGTTGTGCTGCTATTAGCTAATATTCTACCAGGTGCCCAAAATTCCTATCCCCTACCACCGTAGTTTATGAAGGATCTAACCTGTCGAAGGTGCGTTGATAGTTGTGCAGTGTTTTTACTTTTCTCTAACCTACAGTTTTTATAAATACATATAGGAGCCTTTGCTGCGTCAGTCCCAAGCTTTTCTGGAAGGAGTAGAAGCACAAATGGCACTGCCTATACTGCGTGGATATTTGAAGCTCTACACCTCTTTGCCTACGAAAAAACTCGCATCGTTTATGGATGTGGATGATAAGAACTATGACTCATTTATCGGAAAGTTGTTGAGTTACAAGGTCACAATTTACTTGAAAGGTTTTCCACAACTGACTTTGTTTTCTGTGATGGTGTTCTTATGGTTCAGATGATTGTCAATGAACTTGGTAAGGATTCAGTAGCCGTTCCAAATGAAGACGACGAACCGAACACGGATATTGATTTCTACGTTGATAAGGTATACTAAATCCTGTTTGTTCTTTTTAGTTCAGAGAGTGAGGGTGATTATATAAGAATAGGAAAAAGTGTGGTTTGAGTAATGCTTACTTACTTGGACACTTGGATGGCCGGTCTTCACTAGTTGTGCGGGCCTCAGCATAATTTCCATTGTTTCGGAGCTTTGCTGTTTTAACCACTGTGGTTCCCTAGAGTCCCGGGATTAGCCTGGCTAGAGTCTGCCTCAGGTTGTCACCACCACAGGCAGTCACCACCTTTGTGGATCACAGGGAGATTTTGCGACTAGGTTGATGCCAAAACGGTGGTGGATCCTGGCATTGGCATACTGTTATCTGCACTTACCTGATAAAACGCCGGGCTTCTTTGTCGGCTTAGGAGGCCGTGCTGTGGGATGAATTTCTCCGTTGTACATCGCAGTCTGACACTCAGGAACACTTCCCAACCACGATGAGGCGCTACACCGTGGGGTTTGAGTAGTTCTTGCAATAGTATTGAAGCTCTTTATCAGCAGATTATTTTAGGATATGATTTGTATCGCAGATACCAAAGTTGCGCGTCGTGTTGGAGAACATTTCATCCGGCATATGCAAAAGTTGCATGAGGTCTGTTGGTTTAATGTTTCACTACGATAAAAAATTGAAAGAAAAAACCATGGGAACATGTTGTTGGTACTATATATTTTAGGACATTGTTTACGCCATTGTTTCAGGTCCAGAAATTGTTGAAGTCCTTGGAAACTAAGCCATGATTTGTCTTGTTTTATACGGTGGCGATTTTGTTTTTTTTTTATTGGAAGAGAGTATTATTGTTGTCATCCTTGTTTTCTACATGTTTGTGTGTAAATATGTTTAACTGAATTCGATTTCTTTTACTTCTCAGAGTGGTTTTAGTTGATCCAGAGTGTGATATGGAGTATGGAAATGTTCTATGTTAAATGGAGAATCTTGTCAATCTTGTTAGGCAAAACACAGCTGCAGTTTTTCCAAAACTCATGTGAAGTGTTCCAATGTCGCACTTATAATTGATAATCTATGTAACATTCATTGTCTAACCATTCAATCCATGTTCTTCGTACTTGTTAATTCTTTGATATTTACTTGATACTTGAATGGCCCGTCTTCACTGGTTGTGCGGGCTCCAGCATAATCTCCATTTTTCTGAGATTTGCTGGTTAAGCCATTATCGTTCCCTGGAGTCCCGAGGTCATCCTGGACAAAGTCTGCCCTAGGTTTTCACTACCACGGGCAGTTGTGGCCCTTGTGGTTCAGAGGGAGATTAACCACCGTGCGACTTTGATACCAGGACGGCGGTGGATCCTGGTATTGGTTTACTCTTAGTTAGGTTTCTTGATGGAAATGCCGGACTCCTCAGCTTGGGAGACCCTGCCAGAGGATGAATCGCCCGCTGTACGTCGCAGTCCTACATCCAGGAACACCTCCCAGTCGCGATGAGGCGATAAACCGTTGGGAGGTGTTAATTCTTTGCTGTCACTAATTAGATAAAGTCTAATTGCCTAAATTTAAGGTTCGAACTTCGACATCAAGGAAAACCGTTTGACTGATCATGAAAATACGGAGATTACTTGCTTGACTTAGTCGCAGAAGTCGGCGCTTTGGCCGTGAGTCCATGACCGCCTGGAAAACGAGCACTTCACCAGCATATTTTTCAGAGATTAGCTTAGTAGAGAATGCTTGCGTCATTCCAAAATGCAGTAGTGGTCTTTTCGAACCTCATATTTGGGTAATTAAAAGTTATGTAATCAGTACAATATGCAAGTACCAAGTACCGTTAACAGGTGTTGAAAGATCAAGCAATTAATGTTACGTAAGCTACTACATTTCACATGTGAGATAGATTCATTACATACGTGGCGTTAGAACAGTACAACTGTAGCTGGTTTGAAGAGATGGAAAAGATTGTCTTTATGGCAAAGAACATGGTGTTTGTGACGAAGAACATCTATGCGGAGACTAGTTGTGAGTTTACTAGTTTCTTAAACGCAGAAAGTAATGTCTTGTTCCTCTCAGCAATATGTGTTTACGATTCTTAAATATGCAAGTGGGAGTTGGCTTTTCTTTGTTTGAAGGACCATGTTTCTTTGCAGATGCAAGCAGAAAAGGTGCTGTGCAGTCGGGAACGCGGTGACGTTTTGCTAGATGGGATCTCACTTTCAGTTATTTAGCTACTTCAGATAAGAGTCAGGATGAAGTAACGAACATTGTGGTGGTTGACGAAGCACCAGAATTACGTCGTATTGCAATAAGAAAAATTGAGTATATTTGGCAGAGATCTACAGATTCTAATTGGTTGATTTTATGTAATATTTAAAATTCGTTGAAGGGCGCGTGTGGTGCAGTGGTTGGAGGCTCCTTGCAACACATACGTGGAATTGATCCCCGCGCCCATGGCCCACCAAACATTACATCCCTCCGTGATCGGCAAATTGGTACGAGACTCGTCTGGTAGGAGAGCAGCACTGGCTCAACACATCGGTGTGCCTCCGCGAGTCATTGTAAAGGCCAGATATGCATTCAATCACCTCCAACGATACTTAATGAAGTCGAGTGCATGGCGCATCCTTCAGGGATCCATCAACGCCGAGAACTTTTTAGAGAGCTTTATTTAAAATTCACCATAAACTGATATGTATTTATTTAATATAGAGGTGCTAAATTGTGTCTATGCATTGAAATGGATAAAGCTTCAAAACTCTCTCCAGAGACCGACATGCTGGACGCACATGGTAAGGGTTGGCAGAGAGGCGTGGATAACTTTTTATTATACTTAACCTATTTACTTAGCACCTTCCACATTGGTTCAGTCAAATTTAGCTCGAGATTTGTACTTTATCAAAAAATTAGGCTTTTAAACCATATGAAGCCTCACTGTTGATTGTATCGCTCTTTCTTATTGACGTATCTGGACATGATCTGTATCATAATTGCTGCCTCTATGATACCACTCTTTTAACAGATGAGGATAGTTCTAACAGATTTAACAGATACTATGATTTATATATATATATATATATGTATATATATATGAATATCTCAGCATCGTGGTGCTTATATTTCACATATCACGCTATGAAAGATAGTAATAGGCAGTAAATAGAAAGCCTATATATAGTTATATATAGGCTTTATACTATATATATATATATATATATATATATATATATAACTATATATACTCTATACTATATATATAGTTATAGTTCACATATAGTTAACATGCTGTGCTTTTGTTTTTCACTCACATCTATGCCCTGTGGTTTCTTCCAGCATGAAAAGATCTGGTAAAAGGTTAAAGTTCATTGTTTCACATCTGATTAGGATGTCTGAGTTCATTTAATCCCTATATTCTATCTTTAAAGGCGCGTATAGCGTAGTGGTCAGAGGTGGCGTGCATTCACAGTTCCAATCCCGCGCCTCAGGCTCACTGAGCCCTCCATTCTTCCGGGGTCAGAAAATTGTTAGCAGACCTGGTTCGGTACATCGGTAGGCCACCGAAAGGCATTGTATAGGCCAAATATGCATTCAATCACCTCTAACGATGCTTGATAAAGTCGAATGTATGGCGCATCCCTTAGGGAATGGTCAACGCCGAGAGCTTTGTGCTTTATTTATCCTTTATCCTGCCGTTAGAAAATCTCTAAGATTCTGTATATGATTTGCACCTTGATGCATTCTGGTCATGGAATTTTAATTATATATCTGGTTTTAGGATGATTCTGCTATTGCACTGAGGTGCTTCCCTTGTCTTAATAGTTCATCGAATTTCTATTAAGTAAGGTAGCGATTATTGACATATCGATTCATTCTTCATGAAGTTATTGATTGTATAGGTCGCAATAGGCCGGATACACCTAAGCTACGCGTATAACGCATTCTATTCAAAAAATATACAGGGTTGAAATTCGAGCACTCATGTTGAAGTAGTAAAGCATTTCTCCTAAATCCTAAAGCCCTATCATCTTCTCATTGTTAAGTTGAGGCAGGATTTTTACTCAAAATCCGAGGCCGCTTGGCTGGAGCATTCTCGGGCCATCGCTACAGGTAGTACAGGTAGTTGCTAGCGTTTTACGATTGGTGGGAAATTTGCTGCCTTGCCAGTGGGATTATTCTCAGGTGATCCTTGTGGATTCTGGAATTAATCGAACGCTCGCCAGAAGAGGACATAACAAAGCGAATTCTTTCCATTTTATTTTGTAGTCATCGAAACTTTTGGATGAGTAGTAAAAAAAAAAATTGAAGAAGTGTTGTGCCTATAGTCCCATATTATCCCATTCCAATGTTCGCATGACGTTCTGGAGGGTGGCGGCAAATGATTTTGGCGAGATGGTATCGCTTTGCCTAACTCCTCTTTTGACGTCAATGTTAATATCGTTGTAGAATGGCAATACCTTGGCTGTGAAATTTTTGTGTAGCTCATGAAGAAATTTTATGTACTGAGTAGGGACTCCTTGACTATCAAGGGCTTCCAAGAATGCTTCTATCTCAACTAAATCAAAGGACTTCTGTAAATCGATGAAAGTCAGACAGAGCAGTCTTTTGCACTCTCGCGATATTTCAATGAGCCTTATTACCGTGTGGATGTGGTCCATCGTACTAGATCCTTTTCGAAACCCTGCTTCCTCACATGACTGCCTTTCGTCCAGTGATCTGTCTTTCCTGTTTAGAATGACTCGAGTGAAAAGTTTGTAGAAGACAGTAAGCAGATTGGGCGATAGTTACCGATATTGTGTAGGTCATCCTTCTCGAACAATAACACGGTCTTGTTGGTCTTCCACTGAGTAGAGAGCTTGCTTTCAGACAGGAAACGTGTGAAGAGCCGAGCCAGTGTGTTTACGAGGACTGGCGGAAGGTTCTTCAGGTGTTCTAGTCTTATCATGTCCGGACCTGGTGCTGTTCGATTTCTCACCAACGAAATGGCATGTCGAATTTTTGATGGGAGAACTGGTGGTACAACATATCCATCCTCCTTTATTTCATACGACGGAAGGTGGAC